TCGCAGTCAGGCTGCCGGTACGTCGATCATTGTCCAATTAACTGGAACATCGATGTGCAGGGTGCAGCTGGGTGTGGCATTGTTACGCACCTGACAGCGTGGTTTTAGATTGGCTAGTCACGAGTTTGGTGAGAAGGGCTGGGGTCTGACGCCGCGCCCATCACACCTACATGTAAGACAGGTAAGGTGATCTAAGGTAAGCTGGAAGACAACATTAAAGAGGAGTTTACCACCAGTTTAAAAATGGAAAGAATAATATTTAATTTTGTTAATGTACATTGTTATTAAAATGTTCTGTTATTGCAGGTCTCCTTCACTGCCCGTTTACCCGCACTCGGCCTGAGCATCTTTCAGCTTTACATGTCATTCGATGCACACACTACCCTGAAGTCCAGTGTCCGGGTGTACCTCCATGGCAGGGATCTGACTATAAAGAAGCAGGATGTGTTTCCAGTGAAGATTTTGGAGACCAGCACTGACGACTTCTATCTGGAGAATCAGTACATGCAGGTCTGGTTCTCTGGCACCACTGGGCTGTTAAAGGTGAGGTGATCAACTGTTTATGAGAGTGGTAAAACACTTTTATGCAACATTTTCCGGTAGTGTTGCCCTAACTCAAAAATGTATCATAAATGTCTGTATTAATGGGTCAGTAATACAAAATGACAGCTTCATTAATGTAAAACGTTTATAGGTACCTTTTTAGCAATACTTTATGTAAATAAGTTAAAGGATAAGTTCATCTTTTGAAAAAAAATAAACTGCAGGCAAAAAAATTGTGCATTTATTTTTTTTTCTAAGCAGCCAGGAGAGCATTGCACTTGCGGATTAGCAAGTCGCTGGTGTAATCTCAGGCTCCTGCAGACTCTCAGGATAGCTGTCTGCCCGTACCTCATACAGCCAGGCAGTTACCAGATAGCAGGAAGATCAATAAATTACCAGAGCACTCACCAGCCCTGGTAGTTCATTGAGAACCATTATGGCTGACAGTACTTGTAAGTCTATTGATTCACAGGAAACAGTGAATGAATGATGTGGCTGTGTGGGTGGATTCCTGCATGGCTGGGTTATTTTCAAATTGTGACAGTGGATGCGGGAAGAAGATCCCCTGACCACTCTCATGGGGGGAGACAGATGTTACATGTTCCACCATAAAAACGAGTGGAACACGTAAGATGTTCCGAAAGTGAGCTTGTCCTTTAAAGCAGAATTAATCAATCCAGGAATTGCAACTCACAGCCTTGGTCTTGAGAACGCCCTGTGGGTGTAGCGAAACGCGTTGACGTACTTCCGGTTGGTCTCCCGAACGTCCGACGTCATTTCCGGTGAGTGGAACGCACGCCGAGGGATGCGTTCCAAGCGGCCATTTTGACTAGTGGAGGAAGTTTGTTTTTTTTATGGAGGCTGTCATCCTGCTGCATACAAGGCTGTGAGTTCCTAGGAGCTGTGGAAATTCGTTCTGCTGTTCGAAAATTCGATTGATGTCCATAAATAAATGCTGGTTTTTATCCTATGAAATGTGAGTGGTTTGGCTTGAATTAATTATAAAAGAGGTATAACAGTATTACACTATTAGTCTTTTTTCCCTTTTTGGAACTTGGTGATGTGGATAGGAGACGAGTGGAGAAAATACCCATAGATCTGAGGTGGAAAATAGAGGAGTCCTCAAAGGGGGTCCAGGAGCCCTTAATAATCCTGAAAGGTGTTTTACTCACCATTATCTGGTGAGTGCGGTTTATGTTGGTTTTTGGCACTGGTGGATGGTGGAAGAATTATTTGAAGCACTGAAGTTTATTTTTGAGAGAGTTTTTTTAGGGATCACTGGACTTTTGATTTATAAAAATTTTTTTTTATGTCACGGGTTTGTGGTCACTTATCTTTATCACTGGACTTTAAAGATCATTTATAAAATAATAATTTTATATTCACTTATTATTTTAATATTTGTGTTTTGCGCTGGTTTATATACCTATGCACAGCAGCATTTCACTTATAATTGTTTGTTAGTAGATTGGTCCTGGGCGCTGTGTGTTTTTTGATTTAAATATAAGGAGTTAAGTCTAACAAGGTGTGCCATCTTGTGGACATCTTTTATTTTTGATTTACATTTTTACTGAGCATCGGGAGTACAGCTGTTTGTATGCTTCCAGCAATCTGACACTCGACCTTTCGATCTTCGATACAGCAGCAGCAGAGCCGTTTGCAGCCTCTTTGCCTGCACCTCCTCTCTTGTTGCTTAATCACGGAATGCTTAGTATTATATGAACCCCAGTCATGAAATTCATAGTGTTCTGTGAATAGAGAAGAGGGGCAAGCAGAGTGGCTGCTGTGTAGCAAAGCGCATCTCTCCTGTCAGAGCTCCAGGAGTTTAGTGAGAAGTATACTCCCAGTGCTCAGTAAATAGTAAAAAACAAGGTAGCATACAACTTGCTGGACTTAACCCCCTATAAACCAGAATATTTTTAAAAGTGCTGCAATTCTTGAAGTTCTGATTTAAATTTGTTATTGAGAGGATGGTGCAGGTGGAGGTGCAAACTATGATGTTGTTTATTCAAAATTCAACAGGTGGTGCATGCCTTTTCCAGCCTTGTGGATAGCATTAGGCATTTATTTATAATGCTTTGAGCACCATAGAACTTATTTCATATTTGTTGGCCTGCATTGCCAGTTGCTACCAGCAGGTGTCATGTAATATTTGTAATGTAGAACTAAACCTAAATCTTCCAAAATTTCTCAAGAGACACACTAGGTCTTTTCTGCAGTAATACAGTTTTACCTGCTTGCTTGCAACTTCATACTGAATGCATACTGAGCTGTGCATGTGAAGCTCACCATGCATTCCTGACACATGTTGGCTGTGCCAGAATGACTGACTGCCATGATGTCATCCCCTGATGGCCAATCGGAAGGCAGAAAACCTGGCACCTGGGAAGAAGATAACAGCTGGCGAGGGATGTAACTGCTGCATCGCTGGATGATAGAGGTGACTTATCTTTGGTTCCACTTTAGATAAGAGTAACAAAGCAATATGGTGGGGGGCACCAGAAGCAAGCGAGGGGTTTACATTTTAAGCGTAAATTCAACTTTCATTTCATTTTGTATAGCTTCATAGTTTGACACAAATTAAAATAACTTTGTGTACTTGGCATCAACTTACTTCGCTAACCTTTTAGATTACGTTGTATGCGTCCTACGGTGCTTGACCATACCTGACTGTTTAACCCGAACATCCTTGATCTGCTGGCTTAGAGTCTCCAAGAATGTGACACATATACCAGCCTTTGATGTTGGTACAGTAATACCTCGGTTTACAAACGCCTCGATGAACGTAATGTTCAGTTTACGAATGAAAATCCATTGAAAATAACACCTCGGTTTACAAATCTTTTGCAATACAAACTATATGTCTGTGCTGATATTTAAATTTAATTTCCGACTTTTTTTTTCTTCTTTTCTGTAGCTCACAGAATTAGCTGTCACTTTCCCTGGAGTTAACGCAAACTTTGTTTCTTTTAAGAAACCAAAAGGAAACATAATTTCTCTTAACTCAGGGAAATAAATTAAAAGAAAACCTTCATTCTTTTAGCTGGGGGGGAAGTGACAGCTGAATTTCTGAGCTATAGTGAAGAAAAAAATAAGCGGTAATTACATTTAAAATCCGGCACCATAATAAATTAAAAAATGGTGTGGGGTCCCCCCTCCCATCCATATCAAGCCCTTCGGGTCTGGTATGGATTTTGAGGGGAACTCCCATGCTTAAATTAAAAAAAAAAAAATGGTGTGGGGGGGCCCCCCAAAAAAAAAATCCTTACCAGACCCTTATCTGAGCATGCAGCCCCCAGCAGGCCTGGTATGACGGGGGGGGGCACTCGCTCGTTTGTTTGTTCCAACATCCCCCCCCCCTTTCCTGACCTGTCAGGCTGCATGCTCAGATAAGGGTCTGGTATGGGTTTTGGGGGGGACCCCTATGCCATGTTTTTTTTTTTTTTACATTTTTGGTGTAAAACTCCCTCAAAAGCCATACCAGATCCGAAGGGCTTGGTATGGATGGGAGGCGGGACCCCAAGCTGTCATTTTAAATTTTTTTTAATTGCCGGCAATTCTTTTACATTCAGCTGCCAGTTGGGAACCCCGTTGACAGCTGAAACATTAACACATGGTTGTCACTACTAAAATACCGCATGACTTGATAAAGTAACTTATGCAGTATTTTAGTAGCGTTAACTTTTTTCTGACCTCCGAAACAGCGTTTCGGTTTATGAATTTTTCACTATACGAAAGGTCCTGCAGAACTAATTAAATTCGTAAACCGTGGTATGCCTGTATTTGCTTAAGACTGGGCACAGGCTATCTCCCTGTAATAGCATTGTCTTCCATAGCTGGTAGTGATGGGTTTTCCTCAAGGCTCTTGCAGTAGATTGGGGCAGTGGAGAAGCACACCACACATAGGAGAGCTGCTACAAAGTTTGAAGGTTAGATAAGCAATTGTATACGGATTTCAGGTTTACTTTAAGTAATCTTCAAATGAAGCTATCTAATTTCAGATTCATTATACAATAGATGTTAGCCATTCTATAACAATTATGTAAACTCGATTCATTTTTATTAGGGACAGATGGTAGTAATTAAGATAAAGGGTTAAAGCAGTATTAAACCCAAAAGAAAACATTTTATAAGATTGCAGCTTAAGGGCTCGTTCACACCATGGTGCCGAGACATCAGTTTTTCTACCCACGATTTGCAAGGGCATAACGAAATCAATTCTCTATTATGTCCTGTTCACACTACAACACTAGTATCACATGCATATTTTTTTGCAAGGATCTGCAACGTATTTGAAGCTCATTAAAGCATGCGTGTAAACTGATGTTTCTGCAAGTGAAATCTGCACATCAGTTTCCATCAGTTCTTCTGCACGTATGGTGTGAATGAGGCTTAAAGTGTTACTAAACCCAGAACCCTGCATTTTACTATATCTGGTCTCCCCTGACCCTGCATTTACTATATCTGGTCTCCCCTGACCCTACATTTACTATATCTGGTCTCCCCACTGACCCTGCATTCACTATATCTGGTCTCCCCTGACCCTGCATTCACTATATCTGGTCTCCCCTGACCTGCATTCACTATATCTGGTCTCCCCCCTGACCCTGCATTCACTATATCTGGTCTCCCCGGACCCTGCATTCACTATATCTGGTCTCCCCGGACCCTGCATTCACTATATCTGGTCTCCCCGGACCCTGCATTCACTATATCTGGTCTCCCCGGACCACTGCATTTACTATATCTGGTCTCCCCGGACCTGCATTCACTATATCTGGTCTCCCCGGACCCTGCATTCACTATATCTGGTCTCCCCGGACCCTGCATTCACTATATCTGGTCTCCCCGGACCCTGCATTCACTATATCTGGTCTCCCCGGACCCTGCATTCACTATATCTGGTCTCCTGGACCCTGCATTCACTATATCTGGTCTCCCACAGTACACAAAACATGGAAATGCAATTATTTTAGTAAATATAAACTACCAAATACCTTTTCTCATCATCAGTTAGAGCAGTCTTGTGACTTCAGATGAGCCCTGGTTAACGCTTGTAGGAGGAGTTTTCTCTAGGAGGATGGAAAACCCCTGACCTCTGTCTGGACAGTTCAGATTGGCCCTGTGCTGATCACATGCACTCTCCCAAGAAAAAAAAAAAAACCTCTCTAGCAATACACACTTAACTGAGCATGTGCAGAAGGGCACGGCACAGTGTCTTATCCGAGTGGACATTTGAACAAGAAGAGGGGCAGAATAGACAATGCAGAGGATTAACCCCTTAGGTTCCACAGTGAGTATAACAAGCATGCTTTACTGCATATACAGACTGATTTTACTGTTGTGGGTTTAGTAACACTTTTTAACAATTCTTAGATGCGATTGCCGAATTAGTTTTCTTCTTTAGGCTTTCTTTCTTCTATGCTCCTCTGGTGATCTGGCCAGTAAGTCTGTTGTTTTTCAAAAGAACAAGCTCTCTTGCAGATGTATCAGTTATAGGGCCATTCAACACTGGAAGAAGTGCTTACAATGATCAGTTTTATTTGTTTATGTTAAACCTTTATCTTCGTTTTCTATAACTGCTTATAAAGTATTAGTGGAGTTTGGCTTCAGTTTGTTAGTGCATTGATATCTGCTAGTACATCTTACACGTTCCTTCCCCCAGAATGCTGCTGTACAAATGTGTCCCCTGTGCTCCTTTATTCTGAACGGTGGCATTCTTCATACAGGAGGTTTGTTACTGGCCAGATCTCCAGGTGAAAATAGAGAAAAACAACCTAAAAAACTAATGCAGCCACCACCTCTGATTGGTAAGCTGCAATATATTACATTTTTTGGGTTTAATACCACATTAAGTTGAAGGAAATATTCATGAAAAACAGTGTGTTAGTTGGTATAACAGTTTGTCAGTATACACTGGACAACAATTTCTTTCAAAAGCTTTGATTCTGAAGAACTTTCAGCTATGGACCCATTCACACTGAACACAAATATAATTTCAGAATGACACTATTACATAGGAATCTTAAGAAATATATCAATAACTTTAAGTGACTATAATGTATCTAATCACATACGGCTTCAGCATGCTAACAGCTCAACAGGGATAAGGGCTCCTTTACTCTGGGTGCAGTCAGGTGTGTTTTTAAATGCAGTAAAAATAAAGTACAAACGCATATGCAAGAAAAATAAAATTTTTCCAATGAGCTTAGTTTACACCATTGCAGTGCTTTCATGTGCATTAATAAAAAGTACAGCTTGCTGCATTTTTCTGCACTACAAACACACATAAGTGCACAAAAATATACCGCAAACGCATAAAAATTCAAGTTGATAAAAAAATGAATAGCTATTGAAATAAATAGGGGTGGTTTTTGGCTTCCCCATACTTAAATTATAAATATGTACTATCTTGTATGTTCTTTGAATCAGCTAGTCTATCAAAGCTCTGATAATATTAATGGCGATAATATATTAATAGCTAAGGTTCTATTTACTTACAAAGAAAGTCGAACACTAACACAGAAATCTAAAGGAATGTTATAGAGCATATTGAAATAAAAGGGCAAAGATGATACGTTGCGCAAGTTCGTCCTCGAAGTTAAGTATCTTGGTTGGGCTCTGGATTAAAAGAGGCCCGTCATCGTTTGGCCCTCTAATTTTAACCACCTCCCGCCCACCATATAGTAATATGAACGACGCAAAGGTGTTTCTCTCGTTCTGGGAGGACGTCATATGACGTCCTCCCATTTGCACCGCGCATGCCGGCGCTCCGGGAGCGCACAGCGTGGCGATCAGTGGTGCGCTGTGTCCCTCGGACACAGCGGATCACCAATCCAACGGAAGGAGCCAAAGATGTCGGCTCGGTCATGTGATCATTGTGTCCAATCACAGCTGATCACATGTAAAACAGGGAAATGCCGGTTATCGGCATTTTCTCTCCCCATGAGCTGTCACGCTGACAGCTTGAGAGGAGAGCCGGTAATCGGCCTTTCCGCGGAGGGGACATCTACACTGATGTTTCAGTGTGCCCTGATGATCAGTGTAGCCCCAGCCAGTGCCACCTATCAGTGCCACATATCAGTGCCTACCAGTGGACATCAATGCCACATACCAGTGCCCATCTGAGCTGTCTTTCAGTGCCACCTATCAATGTGCATCAGTGCCAGTCAGTGCCACCTATCAGTGTCATTATCAGTGCTGCCTTTCAGTGCCCATCAGTGATGCCTGTCAGTGCCACCTATCAGTGCCCATTAGTGAGCAGCCTATCAGTGCCCATCACTGCAGCCTCGTTAGCGCACATCAATGAAGGAGAAAAATCGCTTATTTACAAAATTTTATAACAAAAACGAAGAAAAAAACTTTTTTTTTTTTTTCAAAATTTTTAGTGGTTTTTTGGTTTAAGAAAAAATAAAAAACCCCGAGGTGATTAAATACCTCCAAAATAAAGCTCTGTCACAAAAAAATGATAAAAATTTCATATGGGTACAGTATTGCATGAGACCGCGCAATTTGTGATTCAAAGTGTGACAGCACTGAAAGCTGGAAATTGGCCTGGACAGGAAGGGGTATAAGTGCCCTGTAGGCTAGTGGTTAAAGCACTCACACAGACACAACCCCACAACAAACATCCTCTGCCTGCCCTGTGCTGTCCTCTGTCCAATGTGCAACAATCCAGAAATTTTAGGGGCTGCCCCCCCAATCACCATCCTGACCATCCTCTAGAAGTATGTTGCAGTCTTCCACTAGGGGGCAGTGGCACTCTGCGATCAAAATGTCTGTGGACTGGAGGTTGAGGTCAGCATTCCAGTCCACGTCTGGTTCCTTCTTTCTTGTTAGAAGCCATGCAATTGCTCATTTTAAATCTTTGCATCACCAGGAAATTTGGGCTGAGGCTTTTGTATGTCCATGCCCCACCTCTAGGGGGTATGCGTGAACTACCTTCCAGGATCAGGATTCTGGTATGCAATCTTTTGGCACACGCACCCTGTTGTATAATCTTCTTTTATTACATTCCAAGAGGACATCCAACAGGCCAAATGGCTCTTTGTTAACCAGGCAGTAAAAAGCCATAAATGTCTGATATAAAAAACATGTTGCCTTCCAACAGAAATAAATGGGGGAAAAAAATTATTCCAGTAAACACACTGCAAGCACTCCGAAACCGCACACAAACGTGCATGTAGAACCACACAGTGAACGCAGAGATTGTGGGGTATATGAGTCCGAAAAGTTGTTTTGCTGCGGATTAGTCTTCTAGAAATGTTTCATTGCTGTAGGGACATTATGTAGAAAATACAGAGTGACTATATGAAGCCACCTTATAGGGTTTCTATATGAAGTCTTCAGTTGAGAGCTGTACTGGAGCCCCAGGATTTGGGGCGATAACAATGGACGGGCCTGGAGCAGTATTGTATGTTATGTATGTATGTATGTATGTATGTATGTTGATGTATGTATGTATGTATGCTGATGCTGTAGGGACATTGTACATTTTTAACGTGAGCAGTATAACAAATGAGTAAAATTAGTCTTGTGAAGGGATAATAGAACATGGTAGAGGCCACTGATGGGTGAATGTGCTTGGATTGATTTGCGGAACGTTCTTTAAACTCATTAAACTTGCTAAACACGAATGCAAAGTAAAATTTAAAAAAAATTATAATTCATTTGGGTGCAATTTTTTTTTTTATAAGGCTTAAAGTGTTACTAAACCCAGGACCCTGCATTCACTATATCTGGCCTCCCACAGTACACACAACATGGAAGTGCAATTATTTTAGTAAATATAAACTGCTATATACCTTTTCTCATCAGCAGTTAGAGCAGTCTTGTGACTTCTATCAGTGTTCAGCAGAGCACTTGTTAAAGCTTGTAGGAGGAGTTTTCTTTCTGCTCTAGAAGATTCAAAACCCCTGACCTCTGTCTGGACAGTGATGATTGGCCCTGTGCTGATCACATGCACACTCCCAGTAAAAAAAAAAAAAAAAAAACTCTCCCTATCAATACACACTAAACTGAGCATGTGCATGTGGCTTTAGGTTTCAGTCTGTCTTAACAGGTGGACATCTGAACTAAAAGAGGGGCAGAGAAAACAGATCAAACAGCCTTTTTTTACACAATGCAGAGGATTAACCCTTTAGGTTCCACAGTGACTATAACCAGCATGCTTTGCTGCATATACAGACTGATTCTACTGTTGTGGGTTTAGTAAACACTTTAATAATTTTGCTTTTTTTAAGTTTCACTTTAAAGTAACATGCTTGGGAGATGCCTATGAAGTGGCACAACAGCAGGATGTAGTAAAGGAAAAGTGACATTTCAAAGGAGAAAATAATTTGCTGCTGAATGACCTTTGCGATCCCTAGTAACATCTTTGACCACATATGGTCAAGTGTGTCAACCAGAAAAGAAAAAAAAAATGGTGTTGACCCCATCACCCTATCCCATTAAAATTCATACCAGACCTTTATCCAAGCATACAGCCTGGCTAGCCAGAAAAGGGAGGGGAAAGTGAGCATGCACTGCCACCTTCCTCCTGAACCATACCAGATATTGAGGGGGGTACCCTGCCAGGGCCCCCACCCCCCTGGTAAGGCATTATGTTCCCTTGTTGATGGGGTCCAAAGCTCATCCCCACAACCTTGGCCCAGTAATTGCGACGGTCTGCAGGGGTGTTTATCAGAATCTTGCAGCCCCCTTTAAAATAGGGGAGCTCTCAAATATCTGACCACCTTCCTCACATTGGTAGCATTGGTTGCTTATTCACAAAAAAATGTAGAATGCAATCAAACACACTGAACCTTATCAATGAAAACAAAAATGTCCCACCATTAAACCTACTGTCATTCACGCCATTCATCGATGGAGATCCAGCGTCAATCCTCTAGGAAGTATGTTGCCGTCTTCCACTAGTAGTGAACTCGGTGTAGATCTATTCAC